GTGTCTGTTTTGAGACCAGTTTGTTTCAGTATCTTCATAAATGATGTAGATATTGGCATAGAAAATACGCTTATGAAGTTTGCAGATGATACCAAGCTGGGAGAAGTTGCAATTCCTTTGGAGCGTAGGGTCATAATTCAAAATTATCTGAAGAAACAGAAGAAATGGTCTGAGGTAAATAGGATGAATACAGACAAATGCAAAGTGCTCCACTTAGGAAGGAACACAGTTTCACACACAAAATAGGAAGTGATTGTCTAGGAAGGAGTACTGATGAAAGGGATTTAAGGAGTCTTAAGTGGACCACAAGCTAAATATGAGTCAACAGTGTGATGCTATTGCAAAAAAAGCAAATATGATTCTGGGATGTATTAACAGGAGTGGTGTGAGTGAGGTACGAGAAATCATTCTTCTGCTCTTCTCTGCGCTGATTAGGCCTCAGTTGGAGTATTGTGTCCAGTTCTGAGCACCACATCTCAAGAAAGACAGGGAGAAATTGGAGAAGGTCCAGAGAAGAGCAACAAGAATGGTTAAAGGTCTAGAGAACATGACCTATGAAGGAAGACTGAAAAAATTGGGCTTGTTTAGTTTGGAACGGAGAAGACTGAGAGGGGACATGATGGCGGTTTTCAGGTATTTAAAAGGATGTCACAGGAAGGAGAGAGAAAAATTGTTCTCCTTGTTCTCGGCAGATAGGACAAAAAGCAATGGTCTTAAACTGCAGCAAGGGAGGTTTAGGCTGGAGATTAGGAAAAACTTCCCATCTGTCATGGTGGTTAAACACTGGAATAAATTGCCTAGGGAGGTTATAGAATCTCCATCTCTGGAGATATTTAAGAGCAGGTTAGATAGACATCTATCAGGGATGGTCTAGACAGTACCGGGTCCTGCTGGAACATGGAATGAGCTAATTTGAGTTAGGAGTTTACTTTGAACTTCCCTTTCACTGCTGCGTGTAGACGCGGACAGTTATTCCAGGCTAGTCAGTTTCCAAAATGGCGACCGCCCGGGAGCATGCTAATGAAGTGCGGGATATTTAAATCCCTCATTTCATTTGCAGTTTTGGTTGCCCTCATTATCCTCCCTAGTTCAAACCCGCTGGTGTTTCCCTACTGAAGGTTAGCAGGCAAACCTGGGCTCTGCTTCTGGATGCAAGCGGGGCACCCTGCTCCTTATGCAGCACAACTCTGTGTTGCCTTGGTACCAGCAGCACAGATGGAAGGATGGTTTGAGTGTCATAACATGGGGATGGTGAAACAGCAGACCTGCCATGGAATCTCCATGAGAAAATAAGTACTTCAGGAAAGGCTTCAACAGCATCTCCCTGCAAGATGCTATAGATAGATGTGTTCATCAAAGCCCTGTTGGGACATAATACTGACCAAGGCAGGGCTTAGTCAGCTCACAGAATCACAGACTCCTATTGCCCTGTGTCCGCCTTGCCCTGTTGCAACAGAGCAGCTTAACCCTGCAGCTCTTCCTTTGCTTCATGCTCCACATCCAGCTGCTGCTGATACTCAGCCTGAGCCTTGGGACTTCAGAGCAGTTCTTTGCTGCCTGCTGTAGAGGGTGGCCTGACAGTGAGCCTCTCCTCCTTGTCCATTTCTACTTCTTCATCAAGAAATTCGTCCTCCGGGTTAAATCTGTTTCTGCTGCCTCTGTGCTATGGAAAGTATGTACAGGGTCCTTGCCTGTGGATATGGGGTCCCCACCCATGATTGCATCCAGTTCTTTATAAAAATGGTATGTCTTGGGTGCAGCACCAAACCAGTGGTTTGCCTCCTTCACCTTAGGGTACAATTGGCCAGAATTCCTTTATCTTGGCTCTGCATTGTAGGGTGTCTCGCTCATGCCCCTTCCTGCTTGGATTGAGAAATGTGGCCATATGCTTCCCACTTCCTATTGGTCACTGATAAGGAGAAGATCCTTAATCGCTGGGCAGAGCACTTTGCTGATGTCCTTAACAGGCCCTCTTCTATCAACAAGGAGGCAATAAGCTGCCTACCTCAGGTGGAGATCAACAAAAGCCTGGCTGATCCTCCAACAGTACTGGAAACTCGAAAGGCCACTGAATTGCTCTCCAACAGTAAAGTTCCTGGAGCTAATTCTATTCCAGCTGAAATTTATAAATCTGGTGGACCCAAGTTAATTAAGAGGCTTACTGAAATGTTCTGTGAGATGAGGAAACAGAAACGCGTTCCTCAAGACTTCAAAGATGCGACTATTCTTAATCTATACTAGCGCAAGGGAAATCGCCACCCTTGTGACAACTACAGAGGAATCACTCTGCTCTGTGTTGCAGGAAAGGTCCTTGCCAGAATACTTTTAAGCAGACTCACACAGCACCTTGACCAAGGTCTCTTGCCGGAAAGTCAGTGTGGCTTCAGGAAGGGACGAGGTACTACTGACATGATATTTGCCGCCAGACAACTACAAGAAAAGTGTCAAGAACAGAATGTCCAGCTCCACATTGTCTTTGTGGATCTAACTAAAGCATTTGACTCTGTCAGTCATGAGGGCCTCTGGAAGATTATGGCCAAATTTGGATGCCCAGACACCTTCATTGAAATGGTGAAGCAGTTCCATGATGGTATGCTTGCCAGAGCCCAAGATTGTGGCAATTATTCAGAGTCATTCGCAGTCACAAACGGTATGAAACAGGGATGTGTCCTGGCCCCCAGTCTCTTCAGCCTTATGTTCTCTGCTGTGCTGATTGATGCCTTTAGAGAAAATAATATTAGGATCGACTTGCGCTACCATTTTGATGGAAGGCTATTTAACTTGAGGAGGCTTCAGACCAAAACCAAGGTTCAGGTCGAGACCATTCGTGACTTTCTATTTGCAGATGACTATGCCCTCAACTTAGGTATGCAAGCAGGCATGCAACACTGCATGAACCTATTCTCTGCAGCGTGCATGAGCTTCGGCCTCACGATCTCCACCAAAAAAACCAAGGTTCTGCATCAGCCCACTCCTGGCTGTGACTACACTGAGCCATCCATCATTGTCAATGGCCAGAAACTCGATAATGTGGACAGATTTACATATCTTGGCAGCACTCTATCGAAGGCAGCCAACGTCGACGAGGAGGTGAATACTAGAATCGCCAGAGCCAGTGCAGCTTTTGGAAGGCTTAAACTTAATGTTGGAATCAAAGAGGCATTAAGACTGAGACCAACCTAAAAGTCTATTCAGCGGTCGTCTTGCCCACCCTCCTCTATGCTTGTGAGACCTGGACTGTATACAGTCGTCATGCGAAAAAGCTGAATCACTTCCACCTGAACTGTCTACGGAAACTGCTGAAGATAAGATGGCAGTATAAAGTTCCAGATACTGATGTTCTTCTACGGGCTAATATGACAAGCATTCACACCATGCTTTGCAAGGCACAACTCAGAGGGGCTGGCCATGTTGTGCGCATGTCCGATGATCGATTGCCCAAGAAGATGCTCTGTGGTGAATTACAACACGGCAAGCGATCTCTTGGAGGTCAAAAGAAGAGATTCAAAGACACCCTTAAGGCCTCCCTTAAGAACTGTAACATAGATCCTGGAAATTGGGAGAGTATTGATGATGATCGTTCCGCCTGGCGCAGACGAATACATGATGGTGCAATAGCCCACGAACAAAAGAGACTGCGTTATGCTGCAGAGAAACGTCTTCTTCGCAAGTCGTCCGATCTTTCATGTCCCCACTGTAACCATCAATTTCGGACTCGGATTGGACTAATCAGCCATCTCCGAACCTACCCCCAACTAAACTGATGACACTGGGTGGTCCTCATCGACCTCGATGGACAAACAACAGCAGATGGTATCATGAGCTTTTGTGGGCACAGCCCACTTCTTCAGATGACTCAAACTCTGGTCATCTGAAGACGTGAGCTATGCTCACAAAAGCTCATGATACCATCTACATGTTTTGTTTATCTATAAAGTACTACCAGACCATTTGTTGTTTTTTAAGTTTATCCTGAACAGACTAACTCGGCTACTCCTTGAAGCTTCTAATTCTTTATGTCCATGTGATGAGTCTACATTGGATCGGGGGTGAGCAGCCCAGAAGGAGACTTGGATGATTCAGGGGTTGATGTGTACCGCTAACTGATCCACACAGAGAAAGCAACACCTGGAAGGTAGTACTTGTGTTGTGTTACTTTCATTGGAAGCTTTTAGGGACAAGCCAGACAAACACCTGTTAAGAACTGTCTAGATTGACTTGGTCCTTTCTCAGAACTTCTGCAAAGTTAGTGATGAATTTGTAGAAAGAACCCATCCCCCACCCCAAATAAACAATGAAATGAAAAGCAGCTGATTTCACTGACTCTTTAAGTTCACATGTCCTACTGGACATTAGTATTTTAGTACTTGTCCCTTGCTCGACTTTTGTATTTATCATTCTCATTTCATGTTGTAGATTCTCTGGAGAGTGACTGTGCCTTTACCTGAAGTGCACCTTGGCTCTCATAATCATCTCAGCCAGAATAAAATTTCTTGGAAAGATAAAAATAGACAGTCATACCTGTATAATATATAAACACAAAAAATAATCCTTACTGCAATGGAAAATAACATTGGCCCTCGGATGATCCACCAGATTCCCTCATTGTCATGTGTTGCCCAGCACCTAAAGATTAATTTAAAATATAATTAGATTCCTCAAAACAAATCTGAGAATTTTAACACAGCAATCATATTGAAAGATTAAAGGGTATTTTACAAGCATCAGTATTTTTATTTGCTATTCCTTAAAAACAACAGAATCAATTTGAGAGAAGATACTTTCAATAATTACAATTTTAGGAGTCTGTTGCTTCACGCTCTTGGGATAAAATGCCATATGCTGCAGGCTTCAGAAGCACCCCTCACCAAAACACACCCTTGGGAAGCCCCATGAACAGCTCTCAAACCACTGTCAGGTGGCTGAGCTTATGCAGAGACTGGCAGCCAATTTGCTAACATAGCGAAATGGCATCCTCTGTAAAAAATGGGCACTTCCTGGATTGCAAAAGCCTGTCCTGCCCCTCCACATAGTGAGACAAGTCGGTGACAACTGCAGTCCCAAGGCCCAAGCTGTACCCTGAGGTGGAGCACAGGCCCAGTTCTCCGATGGCCTCCTTCTTAACAAACTGTTGGATAATATGGAAGTTGCTGTGACAACTCCAGGAAGTACAACAATCAGTGCAGTTTGGCCCAGGCTGGAGTAACTAATAAAAGCTACTTCCTCTCTGGTTATATTTTTCCAATTTCTGCAGGGACTAATGGAATAGGAGGAAAGCCATAAAGGAGCTCTTTGCTTGAATCTGAAAGAAAAATCCACAGGAGACCTTCTCGCTACTCTTACATGGACTACAGAAGACACCTGACACAGACTCCTAGTCTGCGTCTAGACTGGCAAGTTTTTCTGCAAAAGCAGTTGCTTTTACAGAAAAACGTGCCAGCTGTCTACACTGGCCGCTTGAATTTGCGCAAGAACACTGATGATCTAATGTAAGATTGTCAGTGTTCTTGCGCAAATACTATGCTGCTCCCGCTCGGGAAAAAGCCGTCTTATGCAAATGCTTTTGTGCAAGAGGGTCAGTATAGACAACTGAGAACCGTTTTGCGCAAAAAAGCCCCGATGGCAAAAATGGCAATCGGGGCTTTCTTGTGCAAAACCGCATCTAGATTGGCACAGACTCTTTTCTGCAAAAAGTGCTTTTGCGCAAAAGCGTCCGTGCAAATCTAGACGCTCTTTTCCACAAATGCTTTTAATGGAAAAACTTTTCCATTAAAAGCATTTGCGGAAAATCATGCCAGTCTAGACGTAAC